CCCCCCCCCCCCCCCCCCCCCCCCCCCCCCCCCCCCCCCCGCCTCTCTCTCTCTCCCCCCCCTTCCTGTGCAGGTGCCTCTCTATGCCCTTAAGTGTCCCTCAGGGTTTTTTTTTCTTATCTCAACTTGCTACCCAATCTCATCCACTCCAAATCATCTAAATGACCACTTGTACATAAATGGATCTCAAGGGTCTACTCTAGCTCTAAATGCGTGCTCACCCTCCCCTGGATGACCCCAAACACCCCAAATACAAGCCCACCGGCCTCATGCAAAGCCACGTCCTCTACTCCATGCAGGCATGACAAGGCCACTGATGCTGAGGCTTCAGGCTCCCAGAGGCCCTGAGCCTGCCCGCCCTCTCCACTTGCCATTATCTTCCCAAGACCTTCTTCCCAGACCCCCTGTTCAGAATTAAGCCCTGAGTAGCCCTCAGCCTCTCCAGTAGCTCACACCAAGCTCATCCTGGCTTAGAGTCCACTGATAGAATCCATGTCTTCATCCACTATGAGGAAGTGGACTGTCTGACCCTGGGCTGCTCAAGACTAGGTATAAGTGTTCATTAAATACTAGATTGAAGGAGTTGCCCCATTACCCTTGCCTGGGACACTGCCCCAGTGCCAACCTGATAGCTGGCTGACATCACCATCTTTGCAAGACCCTCCCCTCAGCTGGTTCCACCAGTCCTCAAGGGGCTAGAGCCTGTATTCTTCCCCAGCCAGAGAGCCAGCTACACCCTGGACTTCTGCAGAAAGAAGTCCTCCTGCTCCAGGTGCCCTGCAGCCCACCCACCCCTCCCACCTGGAGCCCCACTCTCCCCTGCAGGCCCCTCACCACAATTACCACCACTACAAGCTAGTCCCTTAGTCCCTCCTGCTCCAGGCACTGACAGGTCCTGGGGAAAGGTCTGGGACCTTGGTGACCTGTCAGATCCCTGACTCCTCAGTGCCCTCCTGACCCTGTTTCTATTCCCATCCTGTCATACCCCCAGGAGGTTACATGTTCACTGTCCACTTGGAAAAGAATTTCCTTTTTTTTCTTCTTCTTGTGGTTCAGCGAAGCACAAAACCAGATGCTTGTAAAGGCTAAATCCGTCCCATAGCCTCTCAGCTCAGAATAACTCTCTGGGGAGCCCAGTGGACCCAGGTGGTGCTGGGGGTGGTACCTTTGGGAAGTGGGGCTGCACTCAGCTCTCCTGCAGGTCTGGGCTGGCGTTTCTTCCCTTCCCCCATCCACCCCTTGGTGGAAGCAGGGAAACAAAGGGAGTGCTGAACAAGCCCCTGGCCTACATTCTCAAATTGCTCTTGTCTGGAGAAGAATGAAGCAGGAATTCCAGGGTGAATTTGGAACCAAGAAGAAATCCAGGAACTGGGGCCACAACAGGCTGAGCTTTTAGAGCCAGGGGCAGGAGGGAAGGATGCGTTGGAGGAGTACCTCACCCATGACATTTGTGGACATTCCTTCCAGGAGTTCGCCATTCATGTGACTCCATCATGCTGTTTGCATCCACCTTTTTCTGTCCTGCCAGAAACCATAGGAGTCTCAGCTCTCATTCCTGAGACCAGCCACAAAGATCATGGTTCACTAGCCAGCCTATGGATTGACTAATTTGAGGTCAGGTCTGAACAGCTGAGCAGGCAGATGGGAATGAGATGGAGCATGTGATACAAAACACAGCTGTCTGTGTACCGGTGTCTGTGGGCAAAGTAATTCTCCTAGATGGGGGAGGGGTGGAGCACATAATGAAGGACATCTCTAGCACACTGGATCAGTTAAAAATGCAGCTGCAAGTAATAAGGAAGCTGCTTAAACATTGGTCATTATTTTTCTCACCTGACAATTTATGAAGTAGGTAGTTTCTGGCAGTGTAAGTCACACACACAAGCTCTTACTGTCTTTGCTTCATAGTCTTCGGTGTGTTGGTTTTTATCCTCCTTGTTGCTTCACCATGACCAATGGCACCATAACTCACATTCATATTCAAGGGGGAGAAAAACGGAGAAGGGTCTGGGCTATGGAATCTGCCTCCTTTTATCAAGATAATAAAGTTTGCCCCAAACCACCCTTCCCCAGCACACCTCCACTTGGGTCTTAAGGGCCAGAAGTGGGTGCCATGCCCACCCTGCAAGGGAGGCTGGTAAAATAAAAAACAAGATGGAGTGATTGGTTTAGAGCAGAGGTCTGCAAAGTGGGCCAAATTTAGCCCACCACCTGACTTTGTACAGCCTATGAACTAAGAACGGGTTTATACATTTTTAAATGGTTGGAGAAAAAAAAGTCAGGAGAATATTTCATGACAGGTGTATTGTATGAAGTTATCTCTTGGCCCACAAAGCCTAAATTAAAAAAAAAAAAATTTGTTGAAAAGTTTGTCGACCCTGCTTTAGGGCAACGTGGATCATTGCCTCCTGTTGGTAACACTGCTGTTCTGAAAAAAATCACGATTCTGGCAGCAGAAGGAAGCAATGGATATCAGGCAGGCAGCTTTCAGTGTCTGTCACATAGGCGAGTCACTACACTGCAAGCCTGTGACAGTTATCTAATCTGAAACAGCATAAGCTAACAGTTCCCCCTCTCACCACAAACATAACACAAGGGGTTTTTTTGGAAGCCCTCTACCTCAAGGACATTTT